TTTGCTGGCTGTAGCAGCGCTATAGCGCTGCTATAGCGCTGCACAGCAAAAACGCATAAAAATGAGCTGTTTTTACAAAAATATTCCGCTTCGACTGTTATATTTCGATAGCTATAATCAATACCACATAGTCCAGCACGCAGAAAAGGGTAAGGATGTGGCTGTTGCCGGAACCGTACGTGAGGGCCTGAGTTCGATAACTTTAAGTTGTATATGTGCTTGGAACATCCCCTGAAAATTTCAGCCTTGCAGCTTTCCTGGTTCCAAAGTTAGCGATTTTCGCGTCAGGAACCCTCACAGAGCTGTACGCGAGAACTATGCACACCCGGTGGCTGGGTTTGAAATCTTTGAGTTTTATATGGACGGGGAAAACAATCTCAAAATTTCAGCTTTCTAGCTTTTCTCGTTCCCGAGTTAGCAATTTTCCCGCCAAAACCTCCACCCTCTCATACGCGAGGCCCAGACTTGCGTGAGGATCGTCTGGGGTGGCACATGGTCGAGGAATCCACGAGCAAAATTTTGGAGCCGAAGCTTGCTTGGCTGCCGAGTTGAAATACCCGGATTGACGAACAAACACACAGATAGGCTCGTTGCGATATGCGCTTTTGCAATTTGCGTATAAGCAAAAAAGCATAAAAAACGAATAAACTGTGTTTATTACGTGAGCTAAAAAGGACACATGAAATGATGTGCTTTGGTCCAGGATGGACAGTTTTTCAGAAAAAGATGCATAAAAAGTGGAGAAGAATTGAACGCTTCGTCAAAACGAAGGATTGAAAAGAGTGACGTATGTAGCTTGAATCACATCGAAGAGGAAGGAAGGATTAGGTGCACACGTGATTTGGGAAAGGGCTGCCACATTAATTAGATAAACAAGGAAAAAACGCCAAAACTATTTTTTGGAGGAAAATTAGTTGAAATGCACATAAAGTTGAGATTTGCCGAGCAGTGCGAAGCGCGAGCAGTAACGTTTATCACGGTCAATATCTGCCATCAGAAAACCTGGTTAACTGGATGAAAAGGCGTGTAAAACAAAACACGAGAATAATAAAGCTAAGCGATTGTTCGCTGCTCTAAGTACACCAGAAATTGCACATAATGCAAAAAATCTGGTTGATAAAAAGGACGGAATTAAAACCCGGTGGTATCCATCAGCAGCGTGATTAAGAGAGATGAGGTAGTGAGAACGGATGGGCGTAGGGGAGGGGTACGGAGGTGGAGGGAATATCGACCAGAACGACAAATAACAGGAAGGAAAAAGGCAGGGAAATAAAGGGTGGGAGTGTTCAAAGTGTATCAGTCCCGGACTGAAACTGTTAATAAATCAGTGAGTGCGCTGCTGGCTGCTCGACGGTTCATTTCAGTTCAAATCAGTTTAGCTAAGTTGAGTTTAGTTCAGCTTCGGCACTCAACTCCATCTTCAGCCTTTCATTCTATCTAACACCGAGAGTGCCCTCTTTCCCACAGCCGCCGTTTGAAGTTCAGTGATTCGTGAGCTTCACAGGATGTTAGTCGTGATGAGCCCCTGCAGCAGTCTTGAATGATCGCATCAGACCTAACAGACGTCACCTAATCATGATAACGATTTCACGTCTAAGTGGCTGAATATGGCCGCTGTGTAGAAGCTTTAAAATAGGTATTTCTATCATAATTTTTCTGAAAGTTATATGTTAAAGCGAGATTAATCATCGGAAACGGAACAGGCTCATGCTCAAGATCACATTGTATTTCGCTTTCTCTTTCCTCTTCTGACATTCTTGAAAAACGACTGAATAAAATACTTACCGGAGGCGATTGGCGCGTCTCGAAATCATTTTGTGACCGAAACGAATCAGTGAATTGTAGAAAATTGATTCTCGCTGCAGCAGTGGTGTACTAGTCTTAGAAAGCACTTTCCAGTTTTGTGTCTCTTGCGAATGATTTAGTGTTTCTGTCTCCCACCCAAAATTCGATTTTGTTCAAGATTCTCTGCAGTACATCGCCTTCAGTCCAAAATATATAGTTCCTCCTCCTACTTTTGTCGGCTATTTGTTTAAATATTTTATTTTTCAGTGGTTCTTGCCGTCTATTTTTAAGCTCAAATTGGTCCGATGTTACTTTGCTGAATTTTGCGTTCAAATAACGAAAATCCGCAAAATTTGGCTATTTTTTTGCGTCTTAGTTCCACTTTTTGCTACTCTCCTTAATAAACAATTTTCACCGTCTTCTGAGGCAGGAAAAGATTGTTAATCTTTCGTTTCCTTGCGATCGGTGCAATACTGTTCTGCTGTGTCTACAAACCAATAAATGGTGTACAGGCAGGAGTTGTCTGCTTCTATGAATAAATCAGAATCGCAGACTAGGGACTGCCCCCGTGATTAGTCGATTCATTTTGCAACTAGTCTGATACCGGTTGTTGAGCATGTTGCGGGATAAATAAAGCGACGACCCTCTCATAGAATCCTTAGTCTGAGAAGAGGGGTATCTGCGCTAATGCACGAGAAAAAACATGAGCATGGTCAGGTTCATGTGAAAGTACCGTAGCAACTTCTAAATGGTAGACGCCACAGTTAAACATTGACTGTCTGATAACTCTTGCAGCGGTGACCAGAACATGTTTCTGAGTTTTTGCAGTCCTTGAAAATCTGCTGTGCTGCTGTGTTTTTTTATTTACTGAATTCATGCTCCACTCAGAATGCTTACCTTCTGCAGCGGGAGCTGTTAATCG